TTGGGGGAGAGGGGAAGAAAGGAAGAGGGCTAGGGGTGGTCAAAGTATGTTATATTCAGTATGAATATGCCAAAATGAAACTAATATGCACTAATAAAAATACTGATGGTTTTTTAAAAACTGAAAATAGAATTTTTATTTAGCAATTAAAATTCTAGGTATAGAATAAATGAAGTGTTCATTTCCCATATGCAATTTAAATTAGATTTTATTACTCTACCCTTGACTTCAGGCTTTTATGAAGTCCTTAAGTAACATTTGGAATACTCTAACTGGTAGGTAAGGTCTGACTTTTATACTCCCATTCTACATATGTACTGCACTATGGACAGTTTTCCTCTGACAGCTTGATTGTCGTGCTTCAAACACCACAACATGTCCCATTCTGCAAGCAGAATTTCAACTTTAATTGCTAAAATTTGTCTTTCTTATAGCACAATTTATACAAGTCATTTTAAAACTGATATAAAAAAGGGAAACTTTTTCAGAAGTTTAAAATTGATACCTTTAAGCAGTAATTAAAAAAAAACCCAAACCTCAAAGCATTTTTTAAGAGTGTGTCAATGTCAGCTACTGTTTATAGCCTTTGGGAATCAGTTGCAGACCTGATGATGCTTTCTAGAAATAGCTTTAATAAAAGCTTTACTTTGTATTGTTGTTAAAAATAAATAAATAAAATAAAAATATAATCTTTAACCATAATTTCTCCTTCTGTGATGCTCTATTACTCAGTGGTTTAAACATCACAGTTAATTATCCTCTTTCACATTCTAAGGACTTGGTTTGAAAGAAAGCACACAGCAGAGATAATAAGGAAAAAAATAGCTCAATAGCAAACACATAGAATTAGAGCTGGTGCTAAGATATGTGATTCAATTTACAGAATTATGAAAAATCTCTTTCAAAACATCAATCCCGTGGCTCTACCCACTAGAGAAGCTCTGTCTTTACTCCTGTTCTGAAGAAAAAAATGTTCATTTTAAGTGGATAATCAACAACAGAACCAGAAAATAGTTATTTTCACAGAAGGTAAGTTTTACATATAGAAGATGGAAGAAGCTTATGTAATTTTAAATGATTAGATATACCCCAGGATCCTAGTAGATAAATAAAGTAATATTCAGAGAAAATTTTACATCCTGGATTGTCTGTGATTCCAGATCTCTACCACAATTGTGCTCATGTGCCCTTTCTGGATCCTGGGCTAGGTCATAGGAGGAACATTAAAGTAATTTGTGGCCTGGGGGACATGACAATTTAGTGAAAAAGACAGTCCTGTGGCAGGCAATGAAACCATGAAAAGGAAGTGCAGTATCAGAGAATGGTTCACATACAGGGACACTGTTAAAACAATAGATTGAAGGAACCTAACCTTGCTCGCCCAGGGATTCTGGCAGCCAAGAAGATCAGTGTCTTCACAGGAAAGCGACCTTTGAACTGGGTCTTAAAAAAAAAACAGTTTTTCTGGTCCTGGAATGGCAGAGATGATGGTAGTGGGTGAGAAACAGTACCTTCAAATAAATAGCACCATGTAATTGGTGAGGTGTGAGATGGCTCCAAGATTCTCACCCCAAGTAAACAGGAAGAGAAATATAAGGAGGAGGATAGAATGGACTATAATGAGCTTAGTTTGGAGCTTGCTGAACTTTAAATATGCCGTTATTCCAGATGAGAACATCTGGTCAATGGTGAATATATAATGCAGATCCAGAGCTTTAAACAGTGAATATGGACCATGGTTTTGGTGCTTTCCGCAGAGGCAGTAAATAGAGCTACAGATCTTGGAGTTACTGATGAGTGATGGATGGTTAAACTTACGGAGGTAGCTGGGATCACTTGGGGGAATCATTTGATTCAAGAGGACCAGGTTATGTCAGGTGGCATACTGGAAACTACCTAGACATCCTATGGTATAGCTAACATTATGGTTTACATGGATTGGCACAGCCTAAGACCTAAGCCATCATTTACAAAACTTTCCATGTAGAAGTGTGAAGTAAATTCAAGCAACTTAAAATTTGATTTGGGATCACAAGCTATAAATTGGACTTAAATATACCTTTCAGTTATTTTTACTCTGTGGGTCCAACCTACCAGAACTTGGAGAGCAATTCCTGGCTTAGCCTGTCCATATACTTTGCATTTTTATTTAAGTATATCTTATCAGGTATATTTGTTTCCTTTTAATCCAAGTATGCTGACATGACTGCAATTAAAACAAACAAATGAACAAACAAACAAATGCTGATTCACTCATAGGCACTCCAGTCTAATGTTCAGTTGCACTGTGCTGATGGCATTCTCTTCCCTTGTATCATTGAGATTGATGCTAAAGGGAATTATGGGTGTGGTGAGGTTTTAATTCAAGTACAACCTTTATAGAAAACAATAGTGAATTAAATGAGCATTGTTTGTGGTATCAGAAAAATTGGTGTAATGAGGCTTATCAGAAACATCTTTTTTGAAGGCCTCTGTATATTCTATAATTCTTTGTCTCATTTTTATTAAAACATTTATGGAATGATTTAATGTCTTTTTTTTTTTCTCTTCAAAACCATCTTCAAAAGCCAGGCATGGTGATGCATACCTGCAATGCCAGCACTTGGGAGGCTGAGGCTGGAGGACTGCAGTGAGTTTGAGACTAGCCTGGGATACAAAGTGAGTTCAAGGCCAGCCTAAACCACAGAGTGAAACCCTACCTCATAAAAGACTATACAATGAAATGAAACAGACAACAACAAAAAAACATCTAAGAAGTCAGGTGTTGTATGCCTATAATCCCATCACTCAGGAGGCTGAGGTAAGAGGATTGCCACAAGTTTCAGGCTTGCCTAGGCTACATAGTGAGACCCTGTCTTAAAAAAAAAAAAAAAAATATATATATATATATATATATGAATCAACACTAAACTCTGTACTTTGATATGTTTAATATCTTATTGGAGATATAGACATCTAATTACTATTTAACACATACTAACTATACGTAGTGTACTTGGTTTTATTCAGAATGTATAAAAGGAGTTGGTTCGTTTTGCAGCAGCAGTTGTGTCTTCTTGTAATTGCTTAGCGATGATAATACACAGCATCTGTGGAAAGAATTTCTAATAACCTAGCCTTAGAGTGGCTATTTTTGCTTCATTAAAGACTGGATTGTCTGAGAAGTTCAGGATAAGCTGGGGCATCAGTGCTGGGCTGGGGATTCAGGATGCCTGGCATGAATGCAGAGCTGAATCCATAGGGAAGAGAAAAGAAAGTGATTCTAGGTTTCCTGCTTCCCTTAGATAGTTTCAAAACCCCTTCCTCTTTATAGCACTTGCTGTGGGCCATCTTCAGCCTCTTGTGTTTATTGTGAGTGCCTGCTGGAAGGCCAAAAGCTCAAGAGAATTAATGCATTCTGGGAGAAGCCTTCAACCGATGCCTAACAGGGGTCCACGTGTAGATGTCACAGGGTCCTCACCCACTTATTTGGAGAACAGGTGTCCATGCTTGATACTGGCGTTTCAACTGCAGTGAAGCTGGAGTCCCCCACACTGGCAGCCAGCTAGATAACAAGCTCTTCATTGGCCACCTTCCCTTCATTTTTTCACTTCTCCCCTCCCTCACTGATGTTTTTCTTCTCTTCCTAAATAAACCTATGTACTAGAATCTGTCCTGTGATGTGCTTCAAAGAAAAGCTGAGAACTAAAGTACCTCAGCCCTTCTTTCAAAGAGAAAGTTTCAGGCACCATGCATGAAAGTTCTCCTATCTCCAGGGTGGGTAGGATGAGTAAGCAATCAAACTGAAGTCACTAGTTTAGGTGGCCCAGGTTAACAATATGTCCGTACACAGCACCACTTAGGGTACCTGGAAGAGACTTTAGGAAAGGTGCTGCCAACCTTTGGTCTTTGTGCTTGATGCACACTGCAACTCTTCTACTGGGATGCTTTTTCTTGAGACTGGCAAAATTCTACTGATAGGATTCTGCTTTCTAAACTGTCATCCTATTCCAGCCTTGCCTGTATGAGATGGTCTTGATGGAACAAGTCTATTCAAGCTCTTGAGTTATGGATTTGGTCCTGTAGTCGAATACAGGAATTGTATTTGCCTTCTGGGGTCAGTCATATAATCTGCTCTTCCAGTTACACAGTCCTGTGGGAAGTGCCTCATCCATCAGAAGAACTGAAGATCATCTACTCACCATCTTCTCCAGACACAGTGGCTTGAGGGTGAATGTGACGTCAGAAAGTGGAGATAAGAGTGGATTTCTCTGAACTTGTAGATAAATTAGGGAGAAAGGTTAAATGCTCTGGGAGAAATTGATATCCAAAGATCTTTTAATGCTTTTGTGTTTGACACACCAAACTAAATTTCATAATTGTCTTTTATTCTGCCCTCCGACCTCAGACCCCCTTTCTTGTTCTCCTGCCAGCACCTTGGCTCAGGTCCCCCCCCCTCTACTCTTAGATCACTTAAACAACTTTCATTCCTATTTCAAGCCATGGTCTCTCCATTCTCCACTGATATGCCAAGCTGTTCTGCCTGAAATGCAAGCCTAATCGTGTCGGTCTTTTCTTGACACCCTTCCATGCATTCCTGTTGTCCCTGGGAAATTGTTCAAATTGTTGGCATGACCTATGAGGCCCTCAGTTTTAGGTCCCTGTAAAACTCTCCAAGCTCTCTTCACTCACTTTGTATAATAACCTGCTCATGTGCATGTCTGTGAGTAGACCATGACTCCTTTCCAGTGGAGTTCTCCGTATTCTTCCCCCTTCCTCTTCCTCCACCTCCTCTTCCTCCTTCTCCTCTGTGACCTGTCTCCTGCTGTCTGTCAGGACTGAGATGAGGTATTACTCTGATGAGACTTTCCTGATTCTCCAACCTGCATAGTGCACCTTGTATTTTACTATGGTGGCACTTATCAGGCCACTTTCTGATTGTTTATCAACAAGAGTTTGGCCTATCTAGTTGGAGTTCAAAGAGGATGCAAAAGCTGATGCCTAATGCTCCCAGAAATGTCCCAAACAGAGAGATGTCTAGAGCTTCCATTTGAGGCTGAGAGAGGAAAGAGGACTTCGGTGAGATAGGGGACTGTTCTCCATAGTTTAGGTTGGGCAAAAGTGCAGGCTTTTTCCTGGGACCAAGTGCACAGCATCAAAAGAACCTGAGCTTGAGTTCTATATTTGGGTATCAACCCAAAGGCATTGCTCAGCCAAGACAGATGAGACACTAGAGTCTAACTAGGACCTCAGAATGGAGAGTTAAGGGTATAGCTACAAGTAGTCAACAAATTTCTGGTGGGAGAACTACACGGGGGTCTCTAAACACCTTGCTTAGAGAAAGGGAAAAGGAAGGCGGTAAACCACTGCCAGAACTTGTGCAAGATCTCACAATTACAAAGTGGGTTTAGACTCCGAATCCAGAGCACAAAGTCTTAACGAAAAGGTCAGGCAAGTGGATGGCAAGGGAATGGGGACTGAGACAGACTTCACAGTAGGAGTGAAGACAAATGAACCGAATTTAAGGTTTCTTGGAGAAGTAGGTGGGGTCTGAAAAGCAGCGTGGCTCATAACACCCCCTACAGGTACAACTTCCCACTCCTCTTGGCAGGGAACTCACTGTCTCCCAAGGGGGGGGGGCACAGCTAACCTCATATTCTCTGATTCTTCCAATCCATCAGGACAACTATTCTAAACAGTTCCCTTGCAAAATAAATCTCCCCGCGTCGTGTTCCTGGGGACTGTCAAAGAGTAGTAACTCGAATTTCGTCTCTATTTCATTGCTCGCCTTGTTCCCGGATCCACTAGGGTGCCTTTATCCACCTCAACCTGAAACTGCACCGTGTTACAGCTGAGGTACTAACAAACAGAGCTGAACCTTCTCCCTGACAGAGTACACTCAGCCCGAGCTAGGGTTGTAGCTGGCCCCACTTATTCGCAACTCGCCTCCCTGGGTGCTTTTGCCCACAAGCTTCCTTTAGCCGAGGCTCAGCAGAAGCCGAGAGAATGTGTGCTTGAGAAGCAGCCGCGCGGCACCGCCCGAGTGGGAGTGGGAGTGGGCTGGACGTGGGCACCGCAGCCGCGCAGCCTGGCACGGGGCGCCCAGCCAGGCTTGTCAGCCCCAGCGCGTCACCGTCGCCCCAAGAGACGCTGCGCTGCCCAATAGGCAAAGGCCCTCGCTAGCACCGGGTGGGAGCAGAGCTATAAAAGTGCAGAAAGAATCCCGAGCGAGCAAGAGAGCGAGTGAATGCACGCGGGGCTCCGCGGTCCGGACGCCAAGGCGCGACCGCCTGGGCGCCTCGCTCCCCGCGCCGGACCGTGCGCACCGAGCCCGGCGCGGACCTCGGGACCTTGCGCTGCCGGGCCTGGGCCCCGGCACAATGGTCCCTCCCTGCTTGCTGCTCCTCCTCCTCCACTCGGCGAGAGCCACGGAGATCCCCGAGGGCCAGGCAGAGGAGCAGAGCCTGGAGGCGGCCCTGGGGGTCCCCAACGCCTCCCGCTTCTTCTGGAACAACTACACCTTCTCCGACTGGCAGAACTTCGTGGGTCGGAGGCGCTACGGGGCGGAGTCGCAGAAGCCCACGGTGAAAGCTCTGCTCATCGTGGCTTACTCCTTCATCATCATCTTCTCGCTCTTCGGCAACGTCCTGGTCTGTCATGTCATCTTCAAGAACCAGCGAATGCACTCGGCCACCAGCCTGTTCATCGTCAACCTGGCGGTGGCGGACATCATGATCACACTGCTCAACACGCCCTTCACTTTGGTAAGGGCTCTGCCCAGGCCTGCTGTGTCCTCTCTCAAATACTCCGGTACTCTCCTCCCCAGCCTGAGTGCTCCTGCCCCATCTCCCATCCCCACTGAAATCTCTTTTCTCTGCTGTTATTCATCTATTTCTCATCCCTCAGTTGTCTCCTGTTTTTCTTACTCTGTCTGATGCCTGTTTCTCTCCTCTCTTCTCCTTTTCTTCTTGTAACTCTTTTGGCAGCCCCTCGGCCCCTGTACTATCCCTCATCCCTTCCCTGCCTTTACCCTTCTTTACTGACCTTACTTTTTAAAACCAGAGCTTCTACACGCTTATGGCACTGGGTCAGTGATTTGAGAATCTGCAGCCCCTTATGCGTGCTTGACTATCTGCTGGTTAATCTCACTGGACATGGGCTTTTTCAATTACCAAGCAATAGCTCTGAAATGTTAGCAGAGATTATTAGGCCACCAAAGCTCACATAAGTGCAGCCTATGAAATTCCTTTCCCCACCCATACCGGGTGCCACTTTGTGTTACTACTGAAATAGCAAACAACTGCTAATCAGTTAGGGAGCCTAAGTGCCTTTTCCCAGACTGCTTATTTACATTGCATTTCTCTTCTATGGTTTGACAATGAGGCTGTATATATGAGGTCAATGCTGGGGAGCACCGAGAATGTGGTGGACTTGGGCAGCAGAGCTGGGGCAGGTCCAGGGCACTGCACACTGGTGGTGGATGGCTTCCTCCCCAGCCCCTGGCTGCCCATTACTGGTGCCATTTCTGTCCTTCTGTGACCCAGGAGTGCAGTACTCATGCATGAACTGGAACTGTGAGGATAGTGATTGAGCAATCATAACGCTGTTGTACAGCATGTTTCTATAACCTGAGTTACATTTTCCAGTGTATTGAGTGACTTTATTGTTATTTGAGTTACTACAAAAGCAGATTCTGAATTTCCCTCTTGTCTCTACATCTCTGTTTTTCTGCCCAACACACACACACACACACACACACACACACAGAGAGAGAGAGAGAGAGAGAGAGAGAGAGAGAGAGAGAGAGAGAGAGAGAATGAAAAGTCCTGCAAGTCCATCTGCCTGCCTGTGTTGATGTCTTTCTAAGCCTTACATCTTCCAAGTACCCTTACATTCTTTCTCCATTCTCTTTTATGAGAACATTAATCACATTCTGCAGATAAGGAAACTAAGGCACAGAGAGGTTCAATCCCTTGTCCAAGGCTGCCTGACCAGTAACAGGCAGAAATGGGATGCAAACTGCATTCCCTAAGTCAGGTGCAGTGGTCTGTCCAGCAGACACTCATGGAAGTGGAGGACTTTCTGGCCCGTGTTCAGCTTCCATTGCTCTAGATCATGGATTTTTCCTATTCTCTTTCTACCTTATATGTAGCCTACTGGGGGCCACTCTGAATTGTCTAGGCACTAACCAAGGACAAAGAGGCTTCTAAATCATATCTGCTCTGCTCCCTTGATGCATGAGAAAGATTTCTGGCTGTCCTTGGCTCCTTCTTTGATTTCTGACCTGAGAATGGACAGTGCTGAGGTGGGGCAAGGCCACCCAGGGTGAGAACCAGAAGGTCCCTAGGCATGGCCTCGGTGCCTCTTCCCAGAGTCAGCCTGTGGGGACCTGCCCCAGACACAAGAGGATTGAGGAGGCCACAGATTGGGTTTCAATTAGCTATAGTTGATAGCTGAAAACCCTGCTCCAGAGGATTTCTCACAAGAGAGGATGTCAAGGTCCTGAAAACTCAGCACATACTCCTCCATTCTCCCAGCAAGAGTCAAAGAAGCTTGGCTTTGAACCTGACCCGTGGAACTGCCCAATCCAAACTCTTTTTAGAGTTTACAAAGTGCTGGCCATGGCGGGAAGGGGTGCAGGGGATGGCCTTCTAATCCCTCAGCCTTGCTCAGCACAGGCTCTGAAGTGGGCTAAGACATCTACTTTAGCTGTCTGGCAACAGTGCCCTATGTCTCTGGTCTCCCTTCCCAGCTACTTCACACACTGCAAATGAAATCCAGTTCTGATCACTGAAAAAACAGCAAACAAGAGACATATGTAGAACATAGTAGAACCTGCAGGAGAAAGCCTTTTATTTTGACTCCCCAAGTCCCATGACAGAGTCAAAAGAGACTTTGCAAAGACCCTAGCATTTCAGTGAGGCCTGAATGAATAGCAATTTCTCAGGTTGAGATGAATGCTCAGTGTAGCCAAGGGGCGGTTATAAACAAAGGCAAGGAGGTCTCCAAGTTCACAATGTGTTGAAGAAACATTCTGTTTCTCAGTTTGGCTGAAATAGAGACAGAGGCACATAAGTGAAGGAGGCACAAGATGGGCCAGCCAGAGAGGCCAGGGCCGGGTCTGCATGGCCCGGATGGTCCTGAGGCATCTGAGAGCAGGATGATGTTCAGAAGAAAGCTGGCAACAATCTGATGTTTTGGTTAGGAAACACATTGCCAGCAGTGTGAAGGCTGAATTACAAGAACTCATAACTGGAGAAGAGGGAAAGCTGCTAGGCGGCTGTAACAGGGCCATGGCCTTGAGACTGAAGAAGAGGGAATAGGTTTGAAATCTATTTGAGGTTTGGATTTGATCATTGTCAGGAGAGATGCAGGCATGGCTGAAAACTCCTCACTCTTTAATGTCTGAACTGTTCAAAAAACCCTTAACTGACTCCTCGCTGAACCTCCCCCACACGGGAGAAGTAAAGCCTGTGATCCCACGTCCTTGGTTCATGATCCTAGCTAGGCTTTCTCTGGCCCTGGGGTTTCTGATGTAGCATCAGTGCTTTTTGTTCCAGTGTCCACATGCGCAAACCGTTCCTCTCTCAAATGTACCCTGTGTTGTCACAGTGGCGGTTTACAGGGTCACTTCTTTAGTAGGTATTCTATCTTGTCTGATTTTCATGAGAACCCTGTGGAAATGTGACCCTGTTTTACAGATGAAGATAGGGAGGCTCAGAGGGCTTATGTGCCCTGCCTATGGTGACAAAGTAACTGGCAAAAACTTGGCTGTAGATCTCTGCATCATACTCTTTCTATTGGGATGACTTTCCTTGTTTCTCTCTGTATCTTCCCTCTTTCCCCTGCCAACTCCCACTCCATCCACTGATCCATTGTCCTCTGTCTGGGCCTCCATAGGGTATTGCCCACTTTCCTTCTTTTAGTCAAGTTATCTGGGTGCTTCTCAGCCTGGGTTGGAAAGCCCTTGATCAGAATCAGGCCTTATGCCTCCCAAGCATGACATATTACTCATAACCATTCAAATACTAAACAGTGCAAGATGATGCAGAGGAGGATTAACATGGTTCCTGGGCCCCAGCTCTCTCCATTCTGACCCACACCTCTTCTCTTAATTACTTTTCTTTCATTGCTGAGACATAATACCCAACACCTACAAGTGAAGGGAGGAAAGGTTTATTTATTTCACAGTTTATTGAGGTTTCAGTTCATAATCAGCTGGCTGCGTTGCAGAGGAACAACAGTTCTTGCTGGTGAAGACAGCAATAACAGAGAGAGAGAGAGAGAGAGAGAGAGAGAGAGAGAGAGAGAGAGAGAGAGAGAAACCTTTTGGTCCCTTAGTCCCTTATATTATATGCAGGCTACCCACCCTAGGGTGGCTATAGTACCCTTAACCCCAGTATTGCACTATGAATCACATACTCTAGATCCTGCTACCTCCTTCCCTCAAAAAAAAAAAAAAACAAACAAACAAACAAACCAAAAAACATCTAAAACTGCATGAGGTTTTGGGGGGAGATCTACACCCAAACCAAAACACCTCTCTAAACCCCTGCATCTCCTTCCAAGACTAAAAGTTGCAATATTGGCTTAACCTAGACTTCCCTACACAGCCCATACAGTGTATTGTGATTTTTCAGATATGTCTCCTCAATAGACTGAAATATCTGGGGCCAAAAAGGAATTTTATTACACATAAAATGCCTACTACTGATTTGTAGTAATGGCCTTCTAACAATTTACCAGATTTTTTTTCACCTTTTTCAGACTTTATACTAAGCCTATTTGAAGTGATTTCATTTTTTCAAATAAGGAAGCTGAGGTTCAGAGTGGTTATATATTGTCTAAGGTTGCACAGTAATAAACTATTACAGTGAGGAGATCTGACTCCAAACAAAGCCCATGACTCTCTGAATCTCTTCTGACACCTGATGGTCTTAAAAGCATGGTCAGGGTGTGTTTCACTGAGGGTTGGAAGTGGGTGTCAAAAGTCCTAACCTCTGTTTGCTGGTCTCCAGGTCCGTTTTGTGAACAGCACGTGGGTGTTCGGGAAAGGCATGTGCCACGTAAGCCGCTTTGCCCAGTACTGTTCCCTGCATGTCTCAGCGTTGACACTGACAGCCATCGCTGTGGACCGCCACCAGGTGAAGACAACTGTGCTCAACACTTTCTTTCCCCCTCTGGCCTTGTTTTCATGGAGTCTGTGGGAAACACTCTCAAGATAGTGTCTTAGCCCAGTTTTCAGTGAGTGCACTTGTATTCTTATTGATTGTTATGAACACATAGTTTGGGGATATGAAACCCTTTGTCCTGCTTGTTGCAAAAAGCTATTTCCAATTGGTTGTCCGAATGAAGACTCACTGATGGCATTTTTCTGCTCAGAAGTTGACCGACTTGTTTTTGAGAAGCAAACCTGGAAAATCACAGATGAAGAGTGCAGGAAATAATTTTAGGTCAGAGATAAAGCTGTTGAGTTGAAGACAGTTCACTGTCCCAGACTTTTGAGAAGTAAAACGTCAGGATGTCCAGATGGCAGGACCAAGCACCAAGGGGGATAGTGGTACTGAGGGGAGGCCATCAGAAGCACATGGGTGGATATGGTGGTGGGAGCCCAAAGAGGACCCAAGGGTGACCATCTTGGAAAGGGGGTGGCTCCATGCGAGGTGCTTTACCCATGCTCTCAACTTACCTGTATGTTATACTTAGACTATGCTAAATCAAGGAGAAGAGGTCAGAAAAGTGCACGCATGGCTTTCCCAAGATCACATGACTGTGAGTGATTAAGTTAGAATTAGTAATTAGGATCTGTCTGACTCCGAGCTCATGCAGTGATCACTAGATTACACTGCTCTGAGAAGACTTAAAGGAACTTGTAAGACCAGTATCACTGGGGCAACTAGGACAAAGTGCGATGGGATTTATCCTGAGTAGCACCAAGAGGTACAACAAGCACCAAGGGATAGGAGACTAAAAGATGCAGACACAAATGTATTGTTCAATATGAAGAGTAATTTTCTAATAGAAATATCCAAAGATGCAAAACTACTTGTGAGGTAGCAAACTTCATCGCCACCTGTAGCTATAAGTTTGGATGACAACTTGATAAGAATATTTTTGAAGTGATTCATGCATATGATAAACTATTGGACTAGATAAACTTTGTGATTGCTTTAGATCTAAAATAATTTTTTTGTAAAACTCAACTATATATATTGTAGGTACTGTAGGGGAAAGTGTGAAGATCTGAAAATTAAAGTTTGCTTTTTCTGTATCTCCTCTAATTCAATAAGAGCTCTGAGTTAGTTTTACCTAACCTACTCTTAACTCAGTTTAGCACAGCTAATTGAGAGTAGACCCCCCCCCAAAAAAAAGAGAGTAGACCCAAGGAGCTAGGAGTGGGTCTGCTGATCGATGTTGTACACATTGACTGTGTCATTGTGACATATACTCAAAGGTAGAGCCTGGACCCAAAGCTAGTGGAGTTCCTGAGCAGTGTTTGGGGGTCTCTGGCCTAGGCTGCCACTTTCCCTCACAGCTTGAGCACAAAAGTAGAAAGCATGGGGCTAGGAATTTAGCTCAGTGGTGTAGGTGCCTGCCTGGTAAGTGTGAGGTCATGAGTTCAATCCCTGGTACAAAAAAAAGAAGAAAAAAAGTAGGAAGGACAGGGATGGCAAAGAGTGTAATGGAGAGGTGTTGAATAGCTTCTGAAGTCTCCACACATCCTCCCATAAGACTGAAAATCCTGGGAGGAAACAATCCTGAGGACACATCCAGAATGTCACCTGAGGCAGGTAGCACAAACTGTTTTCTCACACCTTGGACTCACCTACCCTCCAATTCTTCCTTCCTTCCTTCCTTCCTTCCTTCCTTCCTTCCTTCCTTCCTTCCTTTCTCTCTCTCTCTCTCTGTCTTTCTTTCAAGAAGTAATAACTTTCATCTTACAATGAAGATATTCTAAAATTCCCAGGTCTTTATTTAAGCTTGTCAGAAGAACTGATTGACATACAGTAACAGTTCCAAGATGCATTTCAGTCTGAAGCCAGAAACATTGGCTTTATTATAGGCATGGGAGAGCTGGGTCCTATGCAATTTTAGCAACAGCTTTCAAATATGGCACTATGAGCTTCCAAATACGTCTCAATGCTGCTTTCCGTGATACGTGAACAGAGAGTTTGTTTTTCATGTCCACTGGCCTCAGACTTTTTCCAAGTTCTTCAGAGACGCAGGGCTGTGGAGTTACAGGAAGGTGAGATCTCGAGGAGGTGGGGGCTGAGTATGAGCTTGTCCTCAGCCCGCTTTGCCTGTGGGAGCCACACAGGCAGTCCCCCAGCCCCTCCCACTGCAGCAAGAGGCCTGTGAATGGCCAGGACTCTGAATGCAGATGACATCCTGTCCTCTTTTCTACCCTGGAGGCAGGCTGTGTCTGAGGCATGACTCCTAGCACCCTGGGGCTCAACAATGAACAGAAAGGATTTTAACTTTATAAATATGACCTGCCTTGTGTGCAAATGAGCCGTGTCATCTGGGTTCTTTTTCGCTTCAGTCTTCCTCAACTAATGATGCAATTTGCTTATTTTCCAGGTCATTATGCATCCACTGAAACCCCGGATCTCAATCACAAAGGGTGTCATCTACATCGCTGTGATCTGGATCATGGCTGCATTCTTTTCACTCCCTCATGCGATCTGCCAGAAATTGTTTACCTTCAAGTACAGGTGAGAGGAATTTGTAAGAGCCCGGGACTCAGAGGAACTTGCCCCATCCCCGCCTTTTCTCAGCTGACCGGGACCCTGGCAGAGGATGGCGGGAGTGCTGTGTGGATCCATGAGTCTCAGGGTTATGAGTACCCGCCTCGCAGTCCCCTTACCCTTCTCCCATTCTGCTGAGCCCTAATTCATGCTCAGTATCTGCACTTTTCTGGTCTTTTTCTCTTTTCTTCTCAACAATTTCTGTTTCCTCATTCTTTCCAGTTTGTCTGCAAGGACAGGGTGACTTCTGCCACCAGGGGGCATGTGCTCGCACAGACTAAGATGGGAGTCAAAATGAGCACGGTTTAAATTCTCACCTGACTTAGAAATAAAATGCATAGGTATGTTTGTGCTGGAGGGAGGATTCTCCACCTCCCCTACTCCTCATTCAGGTTTCTTTATCATGTGTTCTCACAAAATGAGGATCTCCTTTATTCAAACACTTGTCTTTTAAACAGGCCAGATCACTAATGTCTGAATCGCTCTAGACTGTAAGTTTAGAAAGAGTTGGCTGTACTTTAGATTTGCTACTTCAGTGTTTCCAGCACCTGGGTTACTTTCTCTATGTATCAAGCGTAAACCTGCATTTACTGAATGAGGAAAGCAAGGAAGAATTGTAGAGTGATTTTAAACATTTTACAGTTGTTTTAGGTGACTTCTTTACAAACCAGTCCTGCCATAAACACAGGTATACATGAAAGTGGTTTATTAAGACTACAAGCCCAGGACTGATGGGTGAGGGGAGGGCAGGATGAGGAGGGGCAGAGACCACCCAGGGTTGGATTTTGGGCTAGCACAGGGGCTTTGGAACAATCTGCTAAACAAAGTTTGGACAAAGGAACCAAGCTTTCACATTTCATGTTAGTCAATCATCTGCTCCAGGCACTCCTGGGCACTTCTGTCTCTAGGTAAATTTATGGGAAGGGTAGTAGTTCTAAGAATCTGCAAGATTTCAGGTGCCAGCTGCTTCTTGCTGCGTGGGCTGGAGTTGGGGACTGGCACTATGACTGGTGAGGGATCCCTGGGGCTGTAGGGCAGTACACTGCCAGGGTCTGCTGTGGTCACAATGTGATGTGTTCCAGCACATACTCCTGTGACAAAAGCAGGGTTAGGAGAAACAGGTTCTGCAGGCTGATGTCAACTAGCTTATAAAAACCTCCTCCATGAATGCTAGGATGTTGGAAGGAAACACACACCCAGGCCTCCAACATCCAGTCTCTCTGTCTGCATGTACCCATGGAACACCTTTTTTTCCTAACAGAAGCAAAGGGTCTTCACTCATCTTTTGGTAGTGATGGTTAGCAATACATGAAGACCAAGGTACATCCCATATGAAATAGATCCTTACTAACAAGTGGCTGAAGGGGCCAAACACTTAGCTCAGTGGCATAAATGCCTGCCTGGCAAGCATGATGTCATGAGTTCAATCCCTGGTACAAAAAAATAAAAAGAAGAAGAAGAAGTAGCTGAAGGGATAGGAAGTTAGTATCATGGGGAAGTCTAAGATTGCCTCAAGGATGAGTCTTATTTGTTCACTACTGTTATATTCATTCAACAAATATCTATTGGATCTCTACTGTGGGCAGGAACCATTCAAGAGCAAGAGGATGCAGAGAGGTTTGAGTGTCTTCCTTATCTTTCCTAGACTTGTATGATCAGATTATTAGGCTGCAGCATCAAATGTGCAGTACGAAACAGATACGCCCAGAGCCCAAGGGAGGGAGAGGCCACTGCTTCCTGGGATGAATCTTTTCCACACACATATTTCTTCCCTGTCCCACTCTGTTTCTCTCCCTCCTGCCTCCCCTCAGTGAGGACATTGTGCGTTCCTTGTGCCTACCAGACTTTCCTGAGCCTGCTGACCTTTTTTGGAAGTACTTGGACCTGGCTACCTTCATCCTGCTTTATATCCTTCCTCTTCTGATCATCTCTGTTGCCTACACCCGTGTGGCCAAGAAGCTGTGGCTGTGCAACACAATTGGCGATGTGACCACAGAGCAGTACCTTGCCCTGCGGCGCAAGAAGAAGAAGACCATTAAGATGCTGATGCTGGTGGTGGTCCTCTTTGCCTTCTGCTGGTTCCCTCTCAACTGCTATGTCCTCCTCCTGTCCAGCAAGGTCATCCACACTAACAATGCTCTCTACTTTGCCTTCCACTGGTTTGCTATGAGTAGCACCTGCTACAACCCTTTTATTTACTGCTGGCTGAATGAGAACTTCAGGGTTGAGCTGAAGGCATTACTGAGCATGTGCCAAAGATCCCTCAAGCCTCCAGAGGACAGGCCACCCTCCCCAGCCCCTACCTTCAGGGTGGCTTGGACAGGAAAGAGCAATGGCCAGAGGACTGTGCCAACCAGTAAGCTCTTTCCTTCCTCTCAACTCCAGTCTGGAAAGACAGACCTGTCATCTGTGGAGCCCATTGTGGCAGTGAGTTAGAGAAGGTTGCAAAGAGGCAGCCAGAGAGATCTGACTCTGGCTGAGATCAGAAAATGACCTGTCCTCTAACACAGGATCCGTACAGTGCTGCAGACAAGTCCCTGCAGAGGTGGTAGGACTCTTGATTCCCTGGGGAAATGCCCAACCTCCCAGCTTCATTTTCTGTGAAAACTAAAAGTTAGCACCTATCAACAAGCATCAGCGGTATCTCTTAGTTAAGAGATGCCGTGAACTACAGCACCTTGAATCTTTGCGCAAGACAACCAAGCACAACCCCCATTCCAATGGGAGTAGATACAGTCAACTGCCTCCAGCTTCTGCACGACAGTCTTCAGCTTTTCCTACCACTGACTGAGCATTCACAGAGGAAAACTGAGTCACTTTGAGTATGGTCAACCCAAAAGGGCAAATTCTGCTGAAAACAGGTTCACTGTTCGGTAAGGTGTTAGCACAAAAAAAAGTAATTAAAATCACCCCCTTGTCTCATCGACTTGTGATAACTTCTTTTAACATCCTGTGGATAGATTTGCAGCTTCTTTCCGTGTGTGTGCACATTGTTTTTTAAAGTTCTAACCTACACTTTTCCATTTAAATTATAATGATCAGCAAGAAACAGAGGTGTAGCTGAGTACTTCTGAACCTTCTCCAAGGTACATTGTCTGCCATAAGTAGTAAGGAAGAGGTGAGAGAAGAACGGAGGATGAAGAGTATCACCAGACAGTCAGAACCTGCGCGTTTGTGGTGGCAGGGTCTGGCTGAAGTCCTTGCCTGCAGATGGAGGCTATCATGACAATCCAGGAAACAAGACTCAGCTGCAAGGTATAACTGCTGTTTTCCTGCAATTACACAAAAACAAGATGAGGTGGGACACTGTTCTGCTTTCACAGGAGATGAGGAAACAGGCTTTCCAGAAGGCTGGAAATAATTGTATTTAGGTTTCACATTCAGCCAAGCTGCCTAGAGAGGTCACTTCTCCACACTGTTGGTCTGAGGAATGAGATTTTTTTCACACCAATTCCCAGAAGAAGACTCACTATCAACATCACCTCAGCAATTCATGTGTCACTTCCAAAATATATGGGATCCTTAAAGAAGCCTTTTTTCTTCAGGGCCCACTTGCCAGAGAAATCTCATTCCACAGACCAAATGTTTTCATCACTTCCATCTGGTCCTGAGTGACTCACGGTGGTACCTAGAGAGACAGATGTGCCAGGCAGATCGGAGCTTAATTCCCCAGCTAGAACAGTTGCTGCTGTCATCCTGAGCTATTTCCCTTCTGGCCCTGGAGAGATCAGGAAAGCAAAGCAAAGCATGCTGAAGCATGCCTGAAAGCAGAGTAGCTGAGTAGGAAACTGAGGTTTGGGGGAGAAGGAGTTTGTACAGTATTCTTAGACCTCTTTGCTGTTACCTGAACCTGAACTTGGCTACACAGTTTGTTTCTCTTTAATAAACAATAGAAGTCACTTACACTAGTCTATTAGAGGCTATTAGAAAATTTTAAAAATAGGAAAAAAATTAAATTACCTACAAAACTATAAATTTAAAGTACCTACAAAACTATAAATTAAAAGAAATTACTCTCATAGGACAGCATTTTCTCAGTCCAAAGGGAATCCAAAATGAGGTCAAATGACTTATGTACCTATCTTTGTTGTCTTTGTGATGTCAAGAAGTAGATACTAGTTTCATCCTAACACTGCCTAGAAACTCTATAAACCAGAAGTGAGCCCAGGCAGCAGGAATGCTGAAAGTGTTTCCTGACCTGGGATTCATCGGGAAAGCGTCTCTCTCTCTACCATGAGTTTGTCTGCAAATACTGCCCGCTCACAGTGGAAACCTTTAGGTCTGGGACTGCAGCTGGTACTTACCTGCCACCTTCTCCATGCTCCCTGTGTAACTCAGAGCAAAAATGACGTGTAATTGTAAATGTGAAATTTGTAAAACCTAAGTTTTTCCAATGTTCTGTTAAAACATGCATTGTTAATTGTTCTATTCTCAATAAAAGATCTTTTTTGTGTGTGTGAACTGTGCCTGTTGGACTTGTGACGGTATCCCATTGATACTTTTAAGTTAGATTGGAATGGATTACTTTAAGGGGACACAGAGATCATCTACTAGAGCCTGAATTTCATTTTTTAAAAAAAATTTTATTTAAAAGGAAAAAGAGAAAAACACAAAACAAAACAAAGCGGTGTAAGGGTACAAGTAATACAGAACTACAAAAAAAAAAATAAGAAATCACCAGTTAATAGATTACATATTATCATCTTAGAGATAGTTGCTCAAATCACAGTATCAAACCATACAAAGTGGACATTCAAACAGTGAGACTGCAAACAGTTGTGTTCAATGATCCAACCAAAAACATTAATATAGTCAGCTATTTAACACCCCTAAACACACTTGCTGTTGTATCCTTTAGAGCTCTTTTTTTCCCTCTCTTTTTTACAACAAAATTTACACATTTTTTGTTTTATTACTCCTTAGTTCTTATTACTTTTTTGGGGGGGAGAGAATAAAGTCAAATATGGCAAAACAGAGCTGTCAGTCAAAACCAAGGATAGACATAGCACATGATGTAAAACAGAGTACAAGGTTATCAACAATGGTTATCAACGATGCCTCTTGTTTCCTTAAAAAGAATTGTCTATCTCATTAGATATTATAAAGCTGAACAAAACAGTAGAGAACAAGACCAATAAAACTTAAGCATTGTAAACATTACAGGACTTCCAAAGGAGACAATAGTCAAACCAGGATGGGCATCTTAGTGAATCTTATTGCCTTCAAAGTAGTTGCCTATACCCTCAAACTTGATACTATCATACAGAATGGAACAGAGTCTAATCAGTCAAAACAAGATAGTGGGAGTATTACAGGACTTCAAAACAAGTTAATAAGAAATCAAAAAAAGTTACTATTATATATCCTGCTAATTTTTTTAATTTTTCCCCTTAATTAAAACAAACATAAGAAATAACTAAATATTTTTTTTAAAGAATAAGGGAGAGACTGAGATAAAACAGGACATAACAATATAACAACACAGGTCAAAGCATGACTATTTCAGCAACCTAGTGCTTCACCACCAAATAACCCGACTTAATAGTAGTTACCATAGTGTCTGTCTTTTTCCTTGAGATATTTGAATAAAACTTCATATACTATAGCTTCAAATATTTCCATATCAAGAAGCCCAGAATATAGCCTTTCTAATTAATAAGTGAAAACTTTATAAGGCTTCAAGGCCACATAATGGGGAATCATGATTACCACATATTTTTATATATTTGAATCATTACTTACATTAGGGAGACTATTCGGTATTCACACATGCAGGATTGGTTTATTTCACTTATGAGTATGGTCTCAAGCTACGCCCATTTATTGATAAATATCTCAATGTGATCCTGCTTTATAGCTGAATAATACTCCATTGTATAGAAATACCACAACTTTTTTATCCATTCCTCAGTTGATGGACACTTGGGTTGTTTCCAAGATCTGGCGATTACAAATTGTGCTGCTATAAGCATAGGTGCACATATATCACTGTGGTATGAAGCTTTCAGTTCTTCGGGAATATGCCTAGAAGTGGAATAGCTGGAATAAATGGGACTTCCAATCCCAGCTTTTTGAGAAATCTCCAGACTGACCTCCACAAAGGCTGCACCAGTCTACACTCCCACCAACAGTGTAGGAGAGTTCCTTTTTCCCCACAGCCTCTCCAGCATTTGTTGTTGTTGGTTTTCTTGATCCTGGCCATTCTTTCAGGAGTGAGATGGTATCTCAGTGTGGTTTTAATTTGCATTTCTCTAATGACCAATGATGATGAACATTTTTTCATGTATTTATTTGCCATTTGCATTTCTTCATCTGAGAAGTGTGTATTCATCTCAGATGCCCATTTTTGGATTGGATCTTTGAATTTTGGGGGTCTGAGTTTTTTAAATTCTTTATATGTTTTAGACAAGAGTCCCTTGTCTGAGAGAGAGTTCACTAAATTCTTTTCCCAGTTTGTGGGTTTTCTTTTCACTATGCTAGAGATTTCTTTTGACATGCAGAAACTTTTTAATAAGAAGTGGTCCCAGTTATTGATTCTGGGAAGTATTTCCTGTGCGGTTTGAGTCCTGTTCATGAATTCTCTACCTACTCCTATGTCTCCAAGGTTTCTACCCAATTTGTCTTCCAATAGATTTAGTGTTTCTCTTTTAATATTCAGATCTTTGACCCGTTTAAATTTTAATTTAGTACATGGTGATAGACATGGGTCTAGCTTTAGTTTTCGGCAAATGGAGAGCCAGTTTTTCCAGCACCATTTATTAAAGAGACTGTCGTTCTTCCAGTGAACCTGCTTGTAGAGCCTGAATTTCAGATGAGGAATTTGAAGCATGAAGAGGGTAAATAACCAACTGAGAGACCTCCGATTCCTTATCCAGAGCCTTTCCCTCTGAATTTGCTGCCACATCCCCTCATTTGTAATGATGAATCTGTGCTGCATATTTGAACCCTGAGCTCCATCTATTCCTTGGCACCTCAGTAGGAAACAAAGCTGCCACTGGAGCCATTTGTCACTTGCAGTGTGTGGTGGTTTCTGCTGTACCAGGCCTGGGTTCCAGCATGTAAGCTGGGTGAGAGTCTTCACTGCATATCTAATGATGGTGATGCCATCTAGAGCATCTGTTAAAATCAGTTTTAAACAATTCACAAGCTGTTGTAAATAGAAATGATTTGCTGAGCCTTGAGGAAAATCTGAAAGAAAAATGAAAGGCAAATGAGACAAAAAGAACAAGATCCAGTGGCGCTCTCTGTGTGCAGCACTGTGCTAAATGCCTCTGAGCCCATTATCTCATTCTTCCTCACAGCAGTCCTGGGGCGGGGGACTGTTGTTTCTGCTTTTTAGATGAGGAAACTGAGGCTCAGCAGACTTAGAAGCCTTGCTAAAAATCATCCATCTAAATCCACTGAAAAAAACATCTTACCTTCTTAAAGATTCTGAGAAAGTGTGCAAAAAAGATTCTTACTATAAAAAAATCCAAGCTTCTTCAACTTTTTTTGACTGTGAGATTTTTGGGTTTTTTTGGATAAAACCTGTTATCTTCCTAAAATCCAGTACATGAATTACATATTTTGGACAACACTTGACTAGATGAGTCCCATAGGGGCTTGTGGCTCTGTAGTCAGTGAATCCAGTTCAGGCAGAAGCATGAGGCTGCCTTGTGATTTCAGTGCTCTTTAGAACTGTCTTCAAATAGTCTTCCCAGTTACTCCCACATGCTGGTTCCTATGTAACTGGCCATGGTAGGTTGTCAAGGCAAATATTCATCTTATAGTCAGCCTGGGCTTCAAAATCCTCAGATGGCATAGGCACAAATCAACTAAACCCTCATTGTTCCCAAGCTTCTCGTGATGTGACACTACAGCCTCTGGTGATGAGAACCCTTCAGGGTAGCTGAGACCAGGGAGGAATCTGAGAAGACTGGTGTGCTTGAGACATCCATGGGGAAATATCCTTTCCTTTCATTGTAGTCTGAAGAAGGCCAATGCTTGCTGCCAGCTTCCTGCTGCTGTGAAGGCTGATCATTAGCATTTTCCTTCAGAATCTCTGTATACCCATTCCTTGCCAGTTCTCTTTCATTTCAAGGGACACTTAGTGGAGGGGAAAAATAAGTAAATAAATGCAATGCTAACTGCATTTATAAAAACATAACAAAAAACCAGTAATATTTAATTTAATCTTAGAAAATCATGGGCCCAGTTGTGGGGAACCACACAGACGACTGTTCTTGATTCTCCTTGAAATGAAGAGCAACTATCTCCATTTTGGATAGACTTGGCCCTATCTCCATGTATTGATATGTACAGAGCTAGCTATTTCTTTGTCCCTTCAATTGACTTTAAGTGACGTAAATTGGGTTAGCTGAGGATCTGATGTATAGTCTTTGAAGCAAAGTGACCAGTCAGTGTTACCCTGTCCAGTGACTCACCAAATACGCAGCTGAACCAGGCAGGATGAAAAGCCGTGTTCCATGCTGTTGGTTGGGACTGAGCCTCAAGAAAGAGACTGTGACTTCCCAGGGCAAAACAAGATTGTACATCAGAACTGAAGCACTGACCCCAGATTATTAGATACTACCTCAGTTATGTTATGCAGATTGCTCTTTCCACATTTCTTGCCCCCTGCTTATAGCAGAGGTGCTCTAAGACCTCTTACCTAGCCCAGCTCACAGTAGTCATGACAGTCACATATTTCCTGCCACTCTCACTGTCATTCATCCCCGAGCAGAGCCACTCCCTCATGGAGATTAATAACACCTGGGAAGGGCTCTGGGTTGAGGCCTTTGTTCCAGTGACCACCATCTTGGCTGGACTTCAGAACCCTTGGCTCCCCACAACTGTATATATGTCTCAGTGTCTTTCTTCTTACTGTAGGTTGCAGTGGAAGTGGTAGATTGGAATTAACTCACTAGAATTCCAATAACTTCTCCATAGGATTAGAAATATAAACCTTCTTGGACTTCGAGGAGGATGGGAAAGGGTTTATTATACTCAAGTCATCTGCTTTCTGAGGTCTCATAAATCGCATTGGAGAAAATAAACTCTTTGCTGCTTCATGGAAATGAAGAGCTTGAGTTTAGCAGCTTTGCCTCTACTCATGTTTCTAGTACAGAAGGGATCCTGAATTCATACTGGTCCAAATTTTAGATGCTCAGCTAAAATATGAGGAAAGGAAAAGAGTCATGAACATGAGATTTAGCATATGTGTTATCACAGGCAGGGGAGAAGAGTACAAGTTTGTGTGAGTCTAAGTGGGGACCACAGTGTCAGATATAATTGTCCAAGTTTAAGCTTTTGTTTTGGGCAGTAAGATCATGGATGCTGATTATGTATTGTAAGTAACTAATCAAACTAGTAACCAAAAGAGTTTTATACATGGGCCAATGTTAAGAGTGCTAACAACTGAGGATGGTAATTAAGACAATGTTATATTCCTGTAGTCTATAAACAAATTAAAACAATAAATC